CCATATGCAAATACCGAATAATTTCTCTAGTGTGAAAAACTAAAATAGTACTCAAGATCCTAATGGGACAATTAGCAAATAGGAAGAAAAGGACCAAAGGTGGAGGGACAGTGAGAAGGATAGGGAATGGGGAATAAGGGAAAGGGAAAAAAATATGAGAAAATGTAAAAATGGAATTAAAGTGCTTGAAGAGGGGGAGAGGAGGAGGGGGTCATCATCATGCTCCATTTTGTTTTATCTTCCATATAAACTTTTTGTTATTATTTTTATTGATTACATCATTAATAGGTGCATAGCACTTATGAAAATCTATATTAATTTAACCATCATAGTATGTCATAAAATGTACTAACAAGAGATTTAGCTCAGTGGTTCTGCCACCTGCCTCTCAAGCACAGGGTCCTGAGTTCGATCCCCAGAACGAAAAAAAAAATTGTATTTTCATTCAGCATCCCTTCATGATAAAAACTCAACTCATTTGATTATAGAAGGAACATACCTCAATACATACATACATACATACATACAAGTCTACACAACAAATCCATAACCAACATCATACTGAATAGAAAAAAATGTTTCCTCTAAAATCTGGAACAAGGATATCCAGAAACATGTAATCTACAAAGTATTGGAAGTCAGCAACAGCATTCAGACAAGAGAAGAAAAAAAAAGGGGGAGGGGATCAAAATGGAAAAGAGGTAGCCAAATTATCCCTGAACGAAAAAGATTATATTTTATATTTTAGAAAAATAATGTATTTTATACGTAGAAAAACCTACAGACACCACCAAAAACTGTTGAAATTGATAAATTCAGTAAAGCTATCAGATACAAAATCAATATATAAAAAAATAGCATTTCTGTATACCAATAACAACATTGCTCAAAAAGAAATCAAGAGGGCTGGGGATTTAGCTCAGTGGTTCTGCCACCTGACTTGCAAGCGCAAGATCCCAAGTTTGTAACGAGTTAAGGGAGGAGAGGAAGGAAAGATCTCATTTGCAGTAGTTAAAAGAAAAATAAAAACAAGAGTTCTACAGTGAAAATTATAAAACACTGATCCAAGAAACTGAAAAGAACACAGAAAAAATGAGAAAACATCCCATGTTTATGAAATGTTAAAATATCCATACCACCCAAAGTGATACACAGAGTCAAGGCACTCCCCATGAAAATACCACAGAACATTCATTCTAAATACAGGAAAAGATCATAATATTCACTTGGAGCAAAAGTCCCTGAATAGTCAAAATAATCATGAGCAAAAGGGACAAAACTACAGAGACAACATCTGACTTCAAAACATGCTACAATAATCAAGACAACATGGTTATCAGGACAAAAACTAACACAGAGACCAATGAAACACAACGTGGAACTCAGAAATTAATCAACAGATATACAGCCAGCTGATTTTCAACAAAGGTGGCATGAACATACATGCTAGAAAGGACAGTCTCTTCACTAAATGTTGCTAGGAAAACTGGATGTGATTATATCAAAGTAAAATGCTGTGTACAGTAGAGAAAGCACAGTGAAAACACAACCTGCAGAATGTAATAAAATATTTATGAACTATTATCCAAGAGGGGATTAGTATCTGAAATACCTAAGAAACTAAATAACCTAATAGTATCAAAACAATGATTTTTTTAAAAATAAGTACTGGGGATCAAGGCAGGCGCTGGAACCAGAGCTAAATCCCCAGCCCTCGAAACAATGATTTTTAAAATAAGCCAAAGATCTGAATAGAGATTTCACAAAAGATGATGAACAAAATGGCCAGTAAGTTGATAAAAATCCTTAATATCAACAATCATCACAGCTGGGCATGGTGGCGTACACCTGTAATTCCAGCACTTGGGAGGCTGAGGCAGGAGGATTGCTGTGAGCTATAGACCAGCCTGGGCTACATAGTGAGTTCCAGGTCAGTCTCAACTACATAGTGAGACCCTGACTCAAAACAAAAACAAAAACAAAAAACAAAAACCCAAAAACCCAGGAAAATGCAAATCACAATTATAGAGACATCTTACCCCAGTGAGAACGGCCAGTATCAAAAAGATAAAAAATAAAAAAGGAAGAAAGAAAATTTTAGTGAGTATATAGAGAAAGAGGTATTCATACATTGTTGATGGGAATATAAATTAGTACAGCGACTATGGAAAACAGTACACAGGTTCCTCAAAAAATTAAACAAAAACAGCATTGCCATACATGCTCTAGCAACCCCACAAGTGGCTATATATGCTAAGGGAATAAAATCAATACCAAAGAAATACCTGCACTCCCATGTTTATTGAAGCATTAGTCACAATAGTGAATATATACATATTTGAATCAATTAAGTACTCCTCAATGGATAAATGCATAAAGAAAATGAGGTATATATAAAAGATGAAATATAATTCAGCCATAAAAAAGAAGGAAATCCTGTCATTTGTAGCAACATGGATGGAAATAGTGGACATCATGTTAAATGAAGTAAGCCAAGCACATAATGATATTATCACACGGTCTCATGCATATGTGAAAGCTAAAAAGTCAGTCTCACAGAACAGAGCAAATAGCAGGGACTAGAAAGTGTAGGGGGGAAAGGGGTTAGATAAAATACATTTAGATAGAAGGAATTTATTATAGTGTTCTATAGCAAAATAGCATAGCTACAGCCTACCTACAACAATTTATGAGGATTTCAAAATAACAAGTCAGTAGGTTGCCAATATATGGAATTGATACATATCTGAGGAGACAGAATTGATAACTGTCCTGTCATTATACACATGTACTAAATTAGAATACACTTCATAAGTATATACAAATATTGTGTTGATTAAATTTTTTAATTATACTTTTTAAATTTCCCAATATACTATGAGTTACCAAAATTCTTATTTTTAAGAAATTTAATTGTAAATTAAATCTAGGGATAGTTTCTCCTCACATTTTACAAACAAAATCTGTTTTATCCTGGTTCACAAGCCTTACATAATCTGGCCTTTGCCGTCCCTCTGAACTCATATCCCACTTTCCTGCTGTTACTATTTACACTGCAACTGCAATGGTCTGTTTGTTCCTCAAATATAAGAAATTTTGGCCTTCGAACTTTTGTATTTGCTATTTCTATCTGCCAAGAATATTCTTCTCCTTGATCTTACCAGTGTTAGCCTTTTCTTCCTATTGAGGCTCAGCTTAATGCCAGCTCCAAGAGGCCACCCATTTAAAAGCAGCCTGCCGGTCACTTGCTAGAAAGGGATCCCATTTTAATTTCCTACAAAGAATGCATCACAAGATGATAGTTTATGTTTATCTGTTCATTATCTATCTTCACAAGAATATAAGCTCCAGGATACCAGTCAACCCACCTTCATAGAATACTATATGGCCAAGACCAGAATATCTAGCATACAGGGCTGGGGATTTAGCTCACTGATGCCGCTGCCTGCCTCGTAAGCTCAAGGTCCTGAGTTCAATCCTTAGTACCAAAAAAAAAAAAAAAAATCTAGCATATAATAGGTACTCAAAATTGCTATATCCTTAAGACCATTATAAAAAGTTCTAATTTTATCAAAGAATAGGGAGCAAAATGTTATCTTTTTTAATAAGTATACCTACTGAATAAATCCAATTATCTATATTATAGAAAACCAACAAATTCAAAATTATTTTTAGATATTCTCAGAGAATTATGAAAATAACCAATCAATAAAAATTATATTCATACCAATACTAAGTTACATTTTCCAGTCACTAGTTAAAAAGTTAAAAAAAGAAAAACTAATGTATTAATGTTATCTCAAATTTTACCAGTATTGTGAGGGAGGAACAAAAAGAATAATTATCCATGAACAGGTGAATGGCTAGGCAAATTGTGGTATATTTAAACAAAGAATACTACTAAGCAATAAAAAAGAAATGAACTCTTGATATATAACATAGCTAAGTCTGAAATAATTATGCTCAAAGAACCAGCCTCCCTCAAAAAAATACTGTATATACTATATGATTCCATTTATATGAATAGTAACAGAAAACAACAATGGTAACTTGAGGTAGGGCTAATAGGAATGAGAAATTACAAAAAGAAACTTGGTAACTTTCAGAATGATAAACACTCATAACATCAACTATGGCAATAGTTTGGTGTACTCATATTAAAACTTATCAAACTGTTTATTTTAGTTTAGTTTAGGGGATGAGGCTGTAGTTCAATGGTACAGTGCCTGCATGAGGCTCTGGGTTTTATCTCCCACACTGTAAAAGTGAATAAATAAATATATGTGAAATTTAGTCAATGTCAAAACTTTCTGAGGTCTGGGGATTTAGCTCAGTGGTTCCACCGCCTGCCTCGCAAGCGCAAACACCTGAGTTCAATTCCCGGTACCAAAAAAAACCCAAAAAAACAAACAAAACAAAACAAAAAACAAAACTTTCTGAAAGTGCTAATAATTGACACTGAGTAAATCAGACATTTAATTTCCTTTTGGGTGCTAGGGATTGAACTAAGAGCCTTGCACATGTTAGGTAAGTACTCTTTCACACAGCTATATCCCAGTCACTCTTATTTTTTTATTCTAAAATAGGGTCTAAGCTTCCTACACTGGCCTCAAATTTGAGATTCTCCTGCCTCAGCCTTCTGAGTGGCTAAGATTGCAAACATGTGCCACCATGCCTGGCTTACCTAAGCTATTTCTTTTTTAATTTTAATAAAGTTTAAGATAAACATATAAAAATAAAATTTTAAATGTTACAGACCTTACCAGTATTATAAGCTCATTCCTAGTAGCTAAGTTGTCTTTTGTATTTTTAGTTGTACTGATGGAACACAGGGTCTCAAGCATGCTAGGCAGGTGCTCTACCACTCTCTGAGTTAAATCCTTAGTCCTCCAATAGGTGAGATTTTAACTTTTAACTTCAACAACAAAAAATGCAAATAGTAAATTTACAAAATTAAATCTCTACAACACCAAAAATATTTGTTAAATTTTCACAATTACCTGTAGAAGATGGTGATTTCTCTGAGTATTTTGCATTTAGAAGTTTTCTGCTGATAAATATGTAACCACAGGGACATGATTTACATGCAACAGGAACCTGTAGGAAAAAAAAGAAAAAATATATTATTACTCTTTTTTATTGGTAAATTTCTCAGTGTTTAGTCTCCTTAAGTGAATTCTAAATTACATGAAGTGGAAATCACTGACTTATTTAAACCCAACATCATTACTACAAATTATAGGGAATGGGTATCACGTCATACACAGATTTACATCTTTCTAGTGCTAACAGTACTATGAATACTGTACTACAAATACCACACTATAGCAGTACCATAAACAGTAAATTCATGATAAATGTGCAAATGTAAGTGACCAACAGAAAACTTTAATAGGGTCCATGCCAAGGGATGTAGGTAATAAAAAAGGTAGCATTTCCTCTGGGTGTGGTGGCTCACACTTATAATCCCAAGATTGAGGAGGCAGAAGCAGGAGGATTACCGAAAATTCAAGGGCAGCCAGAGCTATATAGTGAGACCCTGTGGGGGTAGGGATAGCATTCCCTAAAATGTTAGGTCTGAGATATAGACAAAATTGGCTAAGGGGGAGTTAGACAAGAAAAACAAGATTCAGGCCAAAACTAAGTAGAGTAGATAAAATGGGATGAAGCAAAAAATAACTCAGGAGGCTGGGGATTTAGCTCAGTGGTTCTGCCACCTGCATCAAAAAGCACAAGGTCCTGAGTTCAATCCCCTGTACCAAAAAAAACAAAAACAAAAACAAAACAAAAAATAACTCAGGGTTCCAACATGAGAGGGAAAGATGCCAATTACCCCTAAAAAAAGAACAGTTTTCAACAACTTGTTTGAAGGTCGAAAGTAGAGTATAAACAAAAATGCATGTAGGGACTGAGAAGTAGGAACTTATTTATAGCCTTGATTCCAGAAAAGACCTTGGACAAAACATTTAAGTTCTTCAGCCTTCTGTTTCCAAATTTGCATATTTTAAAAGACAAATGTTATTAAAAAATCATTGAAAATTTTAAATTTGTCTCCATAATTTTTCACCTATTATTAATGATCCTCGAAATCAAGACATTTCACCAAAGATTAATTTTAATATTAAAATAATCTCAGAACACTACAATTCTTTTTGTAAGATAAATTCCATTTGCCAGTTGTTTGGGTTAAGTCATAATTATAAAGCTTGTCACGCCTGTATGAACAGAATGCTTCCATTCTAGAATATATTCCATCTAATTAAGCTAAACTGAAGTTCTGGCAGAAGAGATCTTTTTCTTTATGTAAAAATACTGAATAAAGGATTTCCAATTTGCATTTAAGAGACATTAACAATGAATCCTATAAAAAGGCACATCTAACAGCTTGATTTAGTAAATGTGATGAGAACCCTTCAAATCATGATGGAAAATGAATTCTCCATAAGATGGTTATTTGAAGTTTTTAAAAAATTATTTTAATAGTGTAAAAGCTGCCTAAAATAGATGTTTATCATTTTTTAAATTTCCTATTTTCACAGAAATATAGCTCAAAGATGTTAATTTCCTTTATATTTAAACATACCATAAAGGCACCCACAGTAAACTATAATAAATTAATGTTATCCAAAAAAACACAAAGCATAACGTTCTTATTCAACAGCTTCTTTGCTAATCAGCAAACACCTTCTTGTAGCTGCTAGTCCCCAATAAACTGATCTATAGCTACAATTAACAGAGAGTACTATAGTCAGACGAGAAATGCACAGTAGGCTGTGGGATCCAGATGCACCTTTCTACTGATAGGCTGGTTTTCATCCCTTAATACATTATCCTCAGTAAAACTGTGCCTAAGCTAATTCATTCTAAAGTCCTGCTATTTTCTTTTTCTTAATTTTTTGTTTTTTTTTTAAACAAAGTTTCACTATAATTCAGGCTGACTGAACTTATTACACAGCCCAGGCTAGCCTCCAACCTGTGAGGATCTCCCTGCCTCATCCTTCCAAGTGCTAGTATTACATGTGTACACCACCACACCTGGCTCTAAAATCCTATTTATAAATGGAAAGTTCCACCCAACCCTTGTCCCAAAAAAGGAGGGGAGGATAAAAAATAAAAAACCATAACTCAGATCCTGTAAAAAGTACTACAAAACAGACTGCACAACTTCAGTGACAGTAACCTCATTAATTATGCAATAGTATAATTTGGATTTTTTACAAACACTCTAACTTTACTTAAATTTCAAGTGACAGCCAGTCAAGGTGGTACACACCTGTAGTCCTAGCACTCTAGGAGGCTGAGGCAGGAGGATCACAAATTCCGGCCCAACCTGGGCAACTCAGTGATTTAGTAAGAACCTGTCTCAAAAATTGAAAGAGGGTCTGGGGATTTAGCTCAGTGGTTCTGCTGCCTGCCTCACCAGCATTAGGTCTCAAATTCAATCTGTGGTACC